GGGGGCGCAACCCACCTATCTTTGGTAGGCAGAGCTCTAGTAGTGACTGTTTCAGCGTTTTTTTTCGCTCTGGTACATCCTCAGAGTTCGCAAACTGTGGGAAGACGCAATCAAGAACATCAGAGCAGCAGCTGCCCAGAGGTTCATATTGAAACCGCAAGGTGAAGAAAACCATGGCTACATCTCTAAGGTGGCCTGGGAAACACTTTGCAAACCAAGAGACGAGGCTGGCCTTGCAATCGCGGACCCAGGATCTCAGAACTTGGTACTCCTCTCCACCTGGCTACAGAAAGCTGCTGAAGACCGAATCAAGTCCGGACTGGCGAGAAACGTATACTCCAAAAAGAGTGGGGCCTAAGCAGACCATCAGACGTATGGGTGGCACTGATGATGGCCTCATTCTTGAATAAGAGAATAAAATCAAGATTCTGGAGAAGTATTGTGATGGCCTGGAAGAAAAACGGGATACAATGGCGTCTAGCTAGTCTCCCGTCGCAGAAATTCGCCTCACTTCTCTGGCTGCAGTCACACATTGCAGTACCAACGGCTCGTTGGCTCGAAGGCAGGGGAACAGAGGTAAGATTGGCCTGTGATCGCCGCACCTGGCCATTCGAAACTATGACTCATGTATGGTGGGCGTGCCCAAGATCGCAGAAGTGGTGGACTGGTGGTTCCAACACTGGACAAAAATGTTCGGTGTTCAGTGACACCAGCGGTAAGGCGGAAAGATGGGTAATTCAGGGGTTCTTACCTCAGAATGCTCCTACAGGGAAGTCAGCAGGGCAGTTACGATGTGGCTCATTTGGTCAGACAGGAATGGAAGAAGATTCAAAGGTCAAAGAGATTGATGAGGTACATGCGGAAAGAACGCTCAAATTGCTGCTCAGGAATTAAATCAGAGCAGACTGGAGAAGGAGAGTCCAAGAGGGAAACAGTAAGGCAGGATTGAAGTGATTTATGGAAACTTGAGCAATGCCCGGTGGGTGGGCTGGCCTCAATAAGAAACAATAAGCTAGTAATATCAAAAAAAAAAAAAAAAAAAATCAAAGTGGTTGGAGACTCAGCAGTAAGGTAGGGAGTAGGGTGGTAGTGGTAGTGGTAGAGGGTAGGGGGATGAACCGGGTGCACTCGGGGTTCCAGTCGGCAGCTGGGGTAGGCAGCAAAAGAGTTGGGATGGGAGGGAGAGTGCCACGGTCAGCGCAGGAATACGAGTTCCCCCGGTCGAACTGACCTTCTGTAGGTCTGTGCAAGTAGAGAGGACTTCTTAAGTAGGGGGTAGAAGTGGTAGTAGTTGGATAAGGAGCAATAGTGTTTTTTTTTTTGTTTTTTTTTTCAAGTGTAATGATTCCTCCCCGTTTTTTTCTTGCGCCATGCTCACACCAGGACTGCTATGACTGAATGTGGGCGTGACTTTGACCAGATTCAGTTGAAGAAAAGCCCTAATCTGAGTATATAGTATATAGGATCATCACCTGCGCCAGAAAGCACAAGCCCCGTCACACGGATTTTGAACTACCGAGTCACTGACAGATCGTTTTGCCTCTATAGCTTACAGACCACCATACATGGGGGGGGCTCACTCCACTGCTCAACATTTTGTCCAAAACAAAGGACAGAAAAAAAACAATGCTCACACCCAGGCATTCGTGGGCATACCGGACGTCATTTATTGCCCAATTTGGTTTATAACACACACACACACACACACACACACACACACACACACACACACACACACACACACACACACACACATCCTCTCCTAGCATGTCCCACATGCGGTATTGGTCATACACCTACGGCAACCACTGACGGATCTCCCTCTTTCATGCCAGACGAACGACGAACACAGCAGTCCGAGGAGGAAAACAGCCTTCTATATGAACCACCGGCAGAGCGATGTGCTCATAGTTTATCACCACCAGGGCAAGCTGTTGCGGATCATATCCTGCAGCAGCTGAATGCCCTTGCATTGGACCAATCCTCCCTGTCGTCGTCTGCCCATAGAGAAGGAATACATACTGAGGAAGCCCAAGAAAGATGCTCCATGCCGTTTTATGCTGGCCCGCCGGAGATTCAACTAGCACGTGGTTCACATGCCTTGTGCCGTGAGGATTATGAAGGTATAGTCCATGCGAGTTTTTGCTTCCATACTCGTAGTACCTTTATTTACAGCAGCAGCCTAGCAATAGGCGCGCAGCGCAGCGCTGGTCTGGTTGTGTACACAGTCAGCAGACGGGAAGGAGCCTAAATCGATGGACTCGAAAGAGCACATCGCATACTCGATGTTACATGCACAGATATGCAATGTACGTAATAACCGAGGATCTGCAATGTGATGAAAAGGACTGAATGGACAATGCGGTGCGAGTAGAATCTCAACAGGCAATGTGCATTCTCATACATACAACATGGTGCTGAATAGCGCAGGGAAGACTTAAATACAAAACCTGACCTGACCGGGACTGACCTCATTCACGTAGTATCAAATAGCGAAGCAGAATGCTAGGATACTAATAACTAGCCCAATCAATGTTTGAACGCAGACCAAACATACATCGTATCCATCACCAGGTGTGAAGGAGCCTGGCGCTGTACAC